CATTGGGTCCCCTGTGTCGTTCTGCAGCTTCGTGCCCCCACCATCCCCCACCTATTGTAACATCTCCTCTCTTAAGCCTATCTGTGTGACAGACAGCATCCCCCAACACATGCATTGCTGCGCAGCTGCTGATTGGTTCCCCTGCTGGCCAATATCGTGCCATTGTCAGTATAAATGAAAACTCCCTCGTACTGCAATCCCCAGCACCCCCCCCGATCTCACTGCCTCTCACCCTCCCCCACCCGACTGCCATTCTCCTCTCATGCTGTGCAAACTGTTGTGAAGCATTATGGGATTATCCCACAATCATTGATAGGCACATGCACACACATACACACACGCCCACACAAACAGTGCCCAGTCAGCACCGTTAGTAAAACCACAACCAGCAGCTCAGGCTCGGCTGCTCAAAATGGTACAAAGGTGCCTCTCCTGAAGGGGGCAGCAATGAGAACCGGGGACTTTGAGGGAAAGGGCAACAGTAAGGACAGGCTTCACATTTGTTGCATTAACAAACTGGGATTTACGAGCAGGCTGTCGATCTACACAACAAAGGACTCAGCTTTTGTCTGTTTTGTGCCTTGTGGGTCTCTGTGATAGACTGATGTCGATGTGGAGATGAGGGAGTCCAGGAAAGTGTGGGGAAGAACTGAGTGGCCACGAGAAGGACTGCGCCCGCTCTCAGACACGGCCATTAAACTCTGAGCTGCTTAAGCGTCTGTCCTTCGCAGTTTGTCCTATTATCTCACCCTTCATCATTATTTAACTGCATTTGCTTAGAAATATTAAAAATTAATGTAGAGCAGAATGGAATCTGTCCCCGGGCATGGTTCTGATGTATTTCCACTAGTGAACATAAAGGAGAAATAAAATAACAGAGAATAAGTTTAAAACAAATGTCTATTCATTGGCTGAAACGTGAAGAGAAACTAAACAAGCAGGGAGCCTGTGATTGGCCGGAAGGTTTGAAAGGCGGTTCTGGGACCGCCCCCGCTGGCCATGCCACCTGCCTGGCACATGAGTTAGTGAAAAAG